CTGGGGGCGGTGCGGGGATGGCCCGGCCGCGAGTCTGCGGCTGCGGGGCGAGCCCGCCGGGCGGGACGCTGGTCCCTTCCCCGCTGTCCGCACATCAGGTGCTCAGCTCCGTCTGTGGGGCTTGTTCAGGGACACCGGCGTGTGGTGACAGCAGCGGCGACAGTATAATGCTCGCTGCGGCCCCAGCTGGGGGAGTGTTCGCTCTCTGCGGGCCGGCTGCATTTCCAGGGCTCTGGGTTTCCAGGCGACCTGGCGAAGCTGAGTGCTGTGCATCGGCAGTATAGCGGGAACCGTAGGGTCACAGGGCCCGGGCAGGGCGCTCCGCGGCTCCCGGTGCTGCGGTGGCCTGTGCTGTCACACAAAAACGGTGCGAGGTTGTGTCCCTGTGTTTTAGTGTCATTGGTTCCCTATAATGTGACAAGGCGGGGGGGAAACCCAAAAACGCAGCTCTTCAAAGCCACGTGGTGGCTCTCAGAGGTATTATGTTTAAATGCAGGATCTTTTAAACAAGTTTCTGAAATCTTTGGGCAATGATCATCAAACCATAAAGTTAGAGAGCTTTACTCAAGTATAGGTGTATCAGCAGCCTCTGACAGGAGGATGGCACAAAGCAGAAGCAACCTTCTTGCTCACTCTCCAACATGTAACTTATGTAATTTGCAAGGTTTTAGATAGGTTTAATACTCCCTTCACTAATCTTCCCCTTGCCCTGAGTATTGACTTTTTTTTTTTTTTTTTTTTTTTTTTTAAAAAAAATATCTGGATAGCTATGTGAACATATTTCTGTTCTCATCTAGAAGTCTGTAACTCGTCTGAAGTGGCATCAAAGCAAAAGAAAAAATGCGTGCCTCATGACCAACACCTTTGACTTCTGGCTGCTATGGCTTCATGTGTTTCTGGATTTCTCTCAAGGATGTGCAGCAGGTTCCCCCTCCTGGCAGCATGGGTTTCAGGACTGTAAGCCATCTGCTCCAGGTTCTAATCGTCCCCAGAGGCTTTCGATTCAATCACTCTTTAACAGCAAGAAAGACATATTCCAGTGACCAAGGATGTTGGAATCAACATCCACAGTCAGCCTAATTTCTGGCTTATGGTGATTAAGCCTGAAGACTGATTGGAAGACACTCAGGAAGAAAGTGTAATGAAGTATGTTGACAAGAAAGGAGCAAGAGTCAGCTGATAGGGCTTCTAATACCATAACAATTACAAATAATCTAAGCAATCTCAGTCTAGTTAACACTTTTAAATTGAAGATGCAGAACCTGATTTCCCACTTCTCTCCCAACCATTCATCTCTAATTTAGGTGACTGAGAAGTAGTCACAAGAACTACCTCCTACTTTGAGATGATTTTTCTGTAGGTGGAGGAGACTCTACAAAACAGCAGTAGAGAATTAGGACTCTCAGTGTGTCTGCTGGGCATTCCCAGGTGTGTAATAAAAAGACTGACAAACATTTATGCTAAAACAAAATAAAGACTTCAAATATAGCCCAGTAAATTTAAGTTGAACCATTACCAGGTTACTATTCAAAATGAAATATATCTAGGAGATTTGTTTAGATGCAACTGAAACATGAAAACCACTTGATGTTTAGCTGAAATGTCACAAGGGAAGAAAACCTGGCTGGTGTTCAAGATTACTTGTTAAATGAATCTGGGATGACAACTCCATGTCTGTAGCAAGAATGCTTTTTCATTTCTTAGCACTTGTAATTTAGAAAGTACTCAATGCACTTCTATGCAAAGCACTCATTTCTAGATTCTGGTTTGGTGTCTTGGTCATGACAGCAAAAGTTGTCTTTCACAATTTTGCCTCAATTTCATTTAAATAGAATGTAAAGCTATTATTTATTTATGCAAGTTAATGGATTTAAAAATGTCATACTTTGGCAGATTTAAGAAGAAATTGCCCTTTGCCCTTTGCAACTAGTCCCCTTTTATTTCATACCAATCGTTTTCCTGACTTTCCCCCTTTTGTTCTACACCTGTTGTTGCTTCTTGTTTGATATTGTCTCTCCTGTTGAGCACTTCAGACCATGCTACTGTTCAGTTTAACTTGAAAGTAGACATTAAATTATATTTTTAAAAATCAAGTGTCAGCTGTTGGCTTCTCCTTTTCCCAATTCTCTGCTATGACATTACTGATTGAGCTGGGAGGAGGAGCAGAAAATGCTCTGTGTGTTATTAATGATTTTGTTTCCAGCAGTTGTAAGAGGATTCTTCCATACCATCAAGGCACCCCTTTGCTTTCATGGGTGATTGATAGTTACATGGCTGAAATTGTAACTAAAACTTCCATGTTTTCCCTCCAAAAAATTTATACACATATCAGAGAATTACTGACAGTAATGATACCTGGGATCAGCTTGCTCTTAATTAAAAAAGTTATGGCTGCAAAGGGATATATTTTGATCTTTTATGCCCAGATGTGTACACCTACTTCCACTAATCCATTTGATGTCTCCTGGGAGAAAAAAATAAAGCACATTAGTATGTCTCAAAAATAAGTCACACGTTTTAGAATTATATGGATGAAAATATGAGTAGTTTACACTTCTTTAGCAAGGCTGGGACTGAAAGGCTGAGACTCTCCAGAGGCAATGCAATTTTTCTAATGTGCATAATATCACCATTGATTAGATAAAGTTCAATGAAGACTTTAGGTCAAAAAGGTGAGTAATTTACTTGTAGGCACACAAGCAGTAGCATATGGGTAGAAATGGAATATATAATTCCAAAGCCATCATTGCCAGTTTTCTTTTTAGTCACTATGTGTTTTCAGATGAAATCATATGCAAAACTCCATAGGCAATTTGAAGGCAGTTTAAATATCCAAAGAAGTCTCTGATGGTATTTCAAATTAATTACTGAGAACCTCATTACAGACACTATAGAGATACTTTATAAACAATAATTCTTTGTCAATGCATTTTGACAGCCATAATAAATACTTTATAGAACTGGTGTTTTGCATTAAAGTTTGTTTTAAATTTGATTTTTTTATTGTCTTTTTAATAGCATCACCATCACAAGCATGCAATCTTTAGTGGTTTCCAGTGGCATAAGTTCATCATTTTAGCAGATGATGGTGTAGCATTTTTTAGGTGGTGTTCATCACCTTGCAGCAAGGGGCACTTGAGGTTCAAATAATGATTTATCTCTTGTGTCCTTGATTTGAAAGAAGGCACTGTTTCTAACATCTGTATGCACTTTTCATTTATTTCAAATAAAAGAGTGAACATTCGTCCAAGATTGATAGGATTGCAGTTCCTCATAGCCAAACTAGCTCCATTATTTGTATCAGTGGTGTATAATGCAAAGATAAAATAAGTTTTTATGCAAAGTTCTAATGAACAATTTGGTTCTTGTTTGTGCTTATCTCAAATCAAATCCAAATCTCAAGAAACAATAAAGGACATTGGGTGAATGCCTGTTACATTTTTCAGAAAGCAAAACAGAAGTCTTCTGTCTCTACCAGATTGCGTTGTGATTTTTGCTGGATGGTCTGTAGCAATATCAAATATGTTCTTCTTTCTTTTCCTTCGCAGCTGGCGTTTCCATTTACTCACCCTTCCTGGAAGCATTACCCTTTTAATCAGTGAGAGTGTGTCGTTCCGATTGGGAACGGCTTTAAAGGACGACATGAACTCTCAAGGGAGTTTCAACACGAGAATTCTCTAGTTTATTGCTTCAGGTCTGTCTTATAGACAGATACGTGGAAAGTACAGAAAAGAAACTCTTATTGGCTAGCAAAGTGCTACATTACCATCATTGGTCAGGAGCACACTACCCCCCTGACCCTCTCCTGCAAGGGAAAACAGGAGGACAGACAAACAGCACCTGGCAGTTGTTTTCTGTCTCTGAGGATTGTTTTGAAATCCTCCTTTGAATTTCTCAGGCTAGCTTCTCAGGAAGGACTGAGAGGCCATGGGCCTGCAGTTTCTGCAGCTCCCTGCAGCCTGTTCCAGAGCTAGCATCCATAAGAGTGTGCCAAAGAAGTGAAAAAGAGAAGCCATAAAGTTTTTGAAGATGTGTGAAACAGATGTACAAAATTCCTTCCAGTTACTTTCTATGTCAGCATTTTCATAACTCTCAGCATTTTGTTATATCTCTATGTTATTACAATAAATGACACTGAAGCTCCAAGTGTAAGCTTAAGACTGTACAAAGAAAAATGATAACTTTATATATGTCTTTTTTAGGATTCAAGTTGTGGCACAAGGATTGTCATGTGATTGAATCAGAAAGCAACCTTGCCAGTGTATTTTATTTCAATGTCCTACCCATTAAGATCATGAAAAATATTGAAAATTTAAGAATGGAAAGAAAGATGGGCAAGTGCTCTTTTAAAAATTAATGAAAGGAAGATTAGGAAGATTTTAGAAATCTGCAGCAAGAGACCGTATCAACAAATGGAGGAGCATAGTGAATTATAGATGTAAACTTTCGACTACCTGTAGTGCTTGATTATAAATACAACAGCCGGAGAGATTGATAAGCATCATCTTGCAAGCTCAGAGAAGCATCAGAAAGTGTATTGATCAATGCTGAACTCAGTACTGGGTTACTGGTAAATGGCTTCCTTATCTCGTACTGATCACAGGCTGCAATGAGGGAGTCAAAAGAGGACAAAGGACAAAACCCCAAACCTGTGAGCTTTCCCAAGAATTTCTGTTATGATGCGAAGAATGTTAGCTCTATGTATTCAGAGAAATGTGAAAGGAAACTTCACTTTTTAAAATACTGTCTGTTACATGACCTGAGCAAAACCCCATAAAGATTGATGACAGTAACACTTAGCATGATTCTGCACTAATAACTAAAAACTAATAACACTATAATCTGTGGTCCTGTTTTCTTCAGAAGAAATATTATTACTTTCTGCCACTCATTCAGTGCAAGCAGAAGTTTCCAGATAAATAATTAGGGTTGCAAGTTGTATAAACTGAATAAAAATGAACCATCGAGAAATTTTTTGCTTTTATCTGAAGGTGACACAAACCAAAGACTTGTTTTGCCACAAATATACCAGCCAGTATGTTGGGAATTCCATCCTATTCACATACAAAACTTTTCTCACGCAACTACAACAAATACAGGGGCTGCATATTTTTTGTTCTCTGCACCCACAAAGCTGCCTCTGGTTTAATTTACAAGCATCTTTAGACCTTTGATCATGTCTGTCTGCATCATCAGCATTTTTACCATCATCATAAATGTCCTAGGCAGTAAAGGTACACAGGTGTATACATAGAAGACCTTATTAAAATTAGAGGAGGCTTCAGAGAAATGCTTTAGATTTTGGACAGCTTTTTTACATAATCCAATATGTTTTCCTAATCAGTAAATTTCTTCATTCTTCATGAGATCCCATTCAGAAATTCAGCCACAGAAAACTGTATGGGTGATTACATGAAAGGAATATATCGAAGTATTTTTAACATTTGATATTGGATATTAAATTTTAAGCACAGTTGACTGACAGGTCCACTGACATTTTCCACAGATATTTTATTGCATATTTTGAAGGTGGGAATATTTTTATTCATTGGTGTTTATTCATGCATGGCATCTCCAGTTCCAGACATAGCAGGCAAGTGTTCCAGTTTATAAAATTATTCCCTCTATTTTTTATTTTATTCTCTGTAATTCAGTTAAATTAAGTTTATAATCATTGCCAAAAAAGGGTTTATGCATATTATATCCAACAGTTTTTTGTGGCCACTGATAATCAATAGCAGCTTAAAACTTAGAAAAGATAAAGAATACATGGAAAGACAATCAGGTTAATTAGATTTGTCCTTCCAAACACTCATAGGTAAAGTCCATCCATTTAAATCCGATTTAATCATGTGCTGAAGTGGTATGAAATTGAATAAAATCAAGCTGTCCATAGCCCAGAAATGTTCTTACTAAGATACAAAAATCCTCAAGGATACCAATTAGTCAGATACTCTACCTGATAAGTCAAGGATAAGTTTCTCGCTCAGTCACAAAGCTTCTGATTTATATATTGACCAGAGTGACTGGTAACAGAAGGATATTCTTTGAGGCTCATAACTTTTTATTGTTTCTGTGCTGTGGCTTTTGCAGAAATGACCTAAGACTTCCTCTTTAGCAATCTTTGCTTGTTTATATAGAGCCAGTAGTAATTACCTCATTAGGAAGGTGAAATACAGGGAGATTTGGGTTCAAGGGAACTATTTGACATTTGCACAAGGGAAATTGTAAGCAATCTAGAGAGGATCACAAGTAAAATGAAGAGTTAAACACAGAGCAAGATTATTGACATGTATGACAGCTTCTGAAATTTAATAGTCAATGTGTTATCAGTCAGTGACTTGGGAAGAGAAGCACAAGGAATTCAGGGTATGGCTATAGAAAACTGAGTACACTCACTCAGCTTCTTCACTGAGATTTAATGGGACTTTTTTATTTATTCTTCCTGATAGGAATTTCAGTCTGTTGCACAGGTCTAGAAAGTAAGCAAATTCTCCTAATCAAAAGATAAAACTGAGATTTTAAAAAAATACATTCTTTAAGTTTGCTTTACATTACAGTTGGTCCAAGACTACTATAAATAGTCCTTACATGGCACCTTTGTTTTAATCTTCATGGATGACATTAGAAAGAGGATCTTTATTAAAAACCTTGAAATACTAAAAACTCTGGCAAGCTCATCACATGGTTCCTGCAGAGTCTTTTATCTGCAGCAATAAAAAAAGTGCAGATGTAACATTTAAAATAATTTTGACAGAAGCTGGAAAAAAGTTCTGGAAGTTCACCCAATGCAACAAAATTCAATGACTGCATGAATAAGCAGGAAAGATACTTAAAGGGAAAGAAACCCAGACAGTTCTCAGTATAATTCCTCTGTCAGCCCATTGGGGAGGCAGAAGCAATGGGAAAATATCCTCAGCAAGTAAATTTGTGATGAGTGAGGTAGGAAACAGGAAGATTTTTGGCCACTAGGAGTTATTCATGATTTCGAGCCGCATTCTAGGATTAGGAATGACAAATGTGGGGAAAAAAAAAAAAAGAAAACGGGAGAAGAAGATAAAAAAAGAAAAGTTTGATTTCTATACTAATTTTA